TATATGGATATATATTAAAATTCTATTGCACTGGTTTCTTGCACTGTCTGTACAAATATGCCGTTATTCTTATTTTTTATAAAATTTGCTCACAAACACAGTTATCTGCTTGCAATTAAATAAAATAAATGGTTACGATATTTTACGTGCAGAAGTGCCGTGTGACCATCATGCACTTGACAATATTTATTCAAAAATTAATAAATACACTAACATCTGTTATTTTGTTAAAATACCCTCGTATATAGTACGTAACACCTACTGTGTATAATACTATAAATATATCAGCATATAATCATCGTAAGCATTATGTTTGATGACTCGTTAACCTTCTGGAAAAGACACCGGCAGATAATTATGCAACTGATCTACGTAGTAAACTGTTGGAACTCGACGGTATTTAAACAAACTGTTATACATGAAAATGCACCTCTTGTTGTAGGCGGATGATGAAAATATGTGAACAAAAAAGGTTATAATTGGGAAGGTAGCTACCTATTATAGAAACAGTGGCAGAACAAAGAACTTTGTGGAGACCAACTAGGAAAAGGACAGATATGATGGTAGGACATCTTCTGAGACATAAAGGGTTAGAGACATTTTATAAATCAATATTAGATATAAAAGGTAGATAAGTCGTCAGTCCTAAGACTGGGTGGACACGCACCTCCACTCTTTCCCATCCTGAGCTAATCTTCGCATTTCCCTAAAACTAGAACATCCGACATAATTTATGAACAGTAAAATCTAGGTCTATCTCTACTCCTCCTAACTCCTGTTTCTGCCTCTAATATGTCTCTGACTAGACTTTCATTCCTGAGAAGGTGTCTACTAACCTATCTCGCCTATTTGTTATTGTCTTCCATAGAGTCCTCTGTTCTCCTATTCATTCTAATACCTCTCCATTTCTCGGTATCTACAATATCCTCATCATTTGCCTGTAACACCACATTTCGAAAGCTTGTAACCTTTCCTTTTCCGCCGCACCCACAGTCCATGTTTCGCATCCGTACAGCACCGCGTTCCAAACATACACCGTCATAAATCTTTTTCGAATTTCTAAATTAATCGTTCGCGAGCATAGAAGTGACTTTATTTTATTGAAGGCAACTCAACCCTACGTTTTCCTTTATCCTGCTTTACATCCCTACTACTCCTTCCATCCTGACATACCTGACTTCCTAAATACCTAAAATCAGTCCCTTCTTCTAATTTTTCGTCTCCTACCTTTATATTCGCTCTTTCCCTACCTTTTCTTCCCTTGCATAACGGTATTTTTGTTTTAAATTTTTTATTTTATAATAAGAATTTGAAAAACTTGTGGAAATTTCAAACTTATTAATTCGCATGAGTACAATATCGTCTTCATTACTTAGAATTTGGAGGGCACCGATTCGAATCTGGGACGGTATAGTATGGTCTAAATTTTTTATGATTTTCTAGGATTGTCTAAAAATAGTCTTCATCTAGCGGTTTTGTCATGTCTTGTCGTGGCCCTCTGTTCTCATATTCTTTCTAATACCTGTTCATTTCTGACCTCTATCCACAGTATCCTCTTCATTCGTCTGTAACACCACATTTCGAACGCTTTTAACCTTTTCTTTAGAGGTAGACCTAGATTAGATTACTGTTCACATATAGTTATAAATGTGGGATGTTCTAATTCAGAGAAATGCGAAGATTAGCTTAGGATAGGAAAGAGTGGAAGTGCGTATCCAACCAGTCTTAGGACTAACCACCCAATGACCATCATGATGATGATTATAATACTCAAAGTAGTGAATATAGACCAATGTATTACAAAAAAAAATGCAATATTTGTGCAACCATATATATTCAAAAATTAACTTTTGAAATTGTGAGAGATTGATAATCCTTTATCGAATTACGTTGTACTTATTTTTAGTATTAATTTTTAATATTTCTTGTGAACAAAATCTAAAATCCATATGAGATTTTTAGGGACTTATTACAAATGAATGTCTCACTAAAACTACTTGCGTTAGTAAACCATCCTACCACAAAACTAGCGTTCCAATAATTTTAGCGAAACGCGAAGATTCGGGCATCATATATGTGCCAATGTCTTAAAACTTGTCTTTTATCAAGGCCTATTTCTATTGCTCTTTTATGAATGTTTAAAAAGATGTTTTATGATCGATTATTTCATGTTACTCGAAAACATAAAATAAAACTATAGCCTATAATCCACACACTACAAAAAGAAAATAAATATAAAAATATGTCTTGCATAATTTGTTTAAGTATTCATTCTTTCGATTTTATTGCAAGTTCAAAGATCAACATTCATTAATAATCAATCATCATGTTCACAGTCAATAGACGTAGACAATTATCAATCAATAGAACATTTTAAGTATTTATGGTCACGTATTCACTATAGATACAACTATTATCTATTTCGATAATAAACGTAGTATTAAATAAGTTGGTAAATATTTGTTGTTTCTTAATTTATTTTATAACGAGAACATGGGAATTTACTAGTTTAGCTATTTGTATGCTGAAGTGTCGATGTATCTTTATTCAAATATAATATGTATTTATTTTGAAGTTTGAGTTAACAATGCAATTGGATTAGATTAGATACTACGATTTATTTCGACTCAAAAGGATATATTCCATAAGGAATGAGAGAGACGTTTCAGTCAGTAACGTTTGTGGCTCTTATCATATTAATTATCTAAATCGAAAGCTAACGAACCTTTGGTTCAACTAGATGAGATATGTTTTTAAAGCAGAATTATATTGGTTTCTTTACCTTAGTAAACATACAAAATGAGAAAATAATTTTTTATTTTCATCTAATAAACTTGTACAATTTTAATTTAATTGACAACTCTCCCATTTGAACTAGCCGTAGGGTAGCTACTCAAAATTATTTTTGTAAAATTGGAATGATCATTGAAAAGGGTCACAAAATTTAGTGTCTGAAATAGAATATGAATATTTTTTGAGTGAAAATAAATTGTAGTATTTTCAGCTATTTCAATACCCCAACTATGTAAAACTGGAAATGATTATAATTTAAGATATTGTGGTGTGCTAAAAAATACGTATAATCCAAAATTCCTAGAAAACGATTCGAAAAACTTCATTTACCCAAAGCTAAAGAAACTATGGATTCCATTTGTTTCTCTTATTACAATATGTAAAAGATCGGAAACAAAATGGGGTTGTAAATATTTTGATATAAAATTATTGATGTTGATTTTACATCAATAAAATCATTTACAACCCTATTTTGTTTCTGATCTTTCACACTAATCAAACTATTTTGGCATCAGTGTTTTTTTTCCAATTAAATTGAAGAAACTATAACATAAAAATAGAAAAACCATATCTCAATCACTGCAAACAGAAAAATATGAATCATACTCAATCATCGCAGCTGGTGATATAATGTAAACACCACTATATTAGTCTAAAAAAACTCCAATATCTAAAAAATGTGCAATTGCCTGCAAGGTTTTCATAAAAAATATTTTATACCTTAGTAAATGTAGAAAATTAAATAGGTACTACAAAAAAAGTATTTATTTGAAAAAAGTATTTTGAAAATACGTATTTTGCATTTAGCATTTCAAAAACGAAAGGGAAATCTATTTTGTATTTTACATTTGAAATAACAAATCAAAAAAGTATTTGCATTTTGTATTTAAATACATACTTTTAAAAAATCATTTTGTACATCTTTAGATAAGACACTTTCTTAGACATGAATTAGAGATGTAGTATTAATGTAAAATCCGGAGTTACGAGGAGTAAAGGTAAACCTAGGCTAGATTTTCGAAGGATTAGACATTAAAAATTTTTTAAACCCCTTTAATGGTATCAATTGTTACAACCTCCTATCAAGGTTTCTCAGAATATTCTGTGCAAAATTATTTTGTTAACTTCGTCATTAAATTACGTCTTTTCACAAATCTTAACTACTGTCACGCCGTAAAATATTATTGTCCTCGTAGGTATATTAAAAATACGCTAAAATTAATAAGGTTTCAGCTGATTATTATTGTCTGTTTTTTAAATATATTTAATCTGAACAAAAGTTAATGATGTTTTTTTTTATATTCAGGTTGGAAAAGAAGTAGCACATCCGGGTATCGCAAATGATTTTGACGATGAAGATGCTCAAAAGTACTACACCTACTACCAATGGGTCTGCTTTGTCTTGTTCTTTCAGGTAAAATAAATTCTATTTTATCTAATAATAAACTGTAATTGTACCGTAAGTTATATTTCTCTTACTTTTTTGTATGAAACATAGAAGACGGAGCTGATCATAATAATGCCGATATTTTCCAGACCTACAGCAGATGAGAAGCGAGAAGTTGCAAGTAGAATCGATTGAAATGATAGGGCTCGTGACGTAATGTGAGTGCGTGATTTGATGGAGAATGCAAGAAGGGGAGATCTCTAGTTACATCAAGTGCACTTTTGTTATGTGAACGTTTCTGGAACTGAAAGTGAAAATCGAATAATTTTCTGCTCTAATTTTTCGCAATCGCAGTACGAAAATGTATCAGCTCTTGAGTTGTCTCAAAGAATATNCTTATTACAATATGTAAAAGATCGGAAACAAAATGGGGTTGTAAATATTTTGATATAAAATTATTGATGTTGATTTTACATCAATAAAATCATTTACAACCCTATTTTGTTTCTGATCTTTCACACTAATCAAACTATTTTGGCATCAGTGTTTTTTTTCCAATTAAATTGAAGAAACTATAACATAAAAATAGAAAAACCATATCTCAATCACTGCAAACAGAAAAATATGAATCATACTCAATCATCGCAGCTGGTGATATAATGTAAACACCACTATATTAGTCTAAAAAAACTCCAATATCTAAAAAATGTGCAATTGCCTGCAAGGTTTTCATAAAAAATATTTTATACCTTAGTAAATGTAGAAAATTAAATAGGTACTACAAAAAAAGTATTTATTTGAAAAAAGTATTTTGAAAATACGTATTTTGCATTTAGCATTTCAAAAACGAAAGGGAAATCTATTTTGTATTTTACATTTGAAATAACAAATCAAAAAAGTATTTGCATTTTGTATTTAAATACATACTTTTAAAAAATCATTTTGTACATCTTTAGATAAGACACTTTCTTAGACATGAATTAGAGATGTAGTATTAATGTAAAATCCGGAGTTACGAGGAGTAAAGGTAAACCTAGGCTAGATTTTCGAAGGATTAGACATTAAAAATTTTTTAAACCCCTTTAATGGTATCAATTGTTACAACCTCCTATCAAGGTTTCTCAGAATATTCTGTGCAAAATTATTTTGTTAACTTCGTCATTAAATTACGTCTTTTCACAAATCTTAACTACTGTCACGCCGTAAAATATTATTGTCCTCGTAGGTATATTAAAAATACGCTAAAATTAATAAGGTTTCAGCTGATTATTATTGTCTGTTTTTTAAATATATTTAATCTGAACAAAAGTTAATGATGTTTTTTTTTATATTCAGGTTGGAAAAGAAGTAGCACATCCGGGTATCGCAAATGATTTTGACGATGAAGATGCTCAAAAGTACTACACCTACTACCAATGGGTCTGCTTTGTCTTGTTCTTTCAGGTAAAATAAATTCTATTTTATCTAATAATAAACTGTAATTGTACCGTAAGTTATATTTCTCTTACTTTTTTGTATGAAACATAGAAGACGGATTAAAAATAGAACTTTTTAGTTGTTGTCAAAAATAGAAATCTACTACTTTTTTTAAAGAAATTACAGTGGCTAGTCCAATGAAACCGTGACAGTGTAATAATCAGGCGAAGCTGTGGTTTCACTTGAGCTAATTGTGGCTTTTGTAGTTTTTATTCTTTCTTATTTGTCAGGTTTTTGTTTTACTGAAACGAATCTAAGAAGCGCTTGAAATAAATCGAATGCGAAAAACGCTTGAAACTGAATTACATCAAAAATACATTACGTAAATAAATGAAGATCTTTTTTTGATCATAAACCATTTTAGAAGTACTGAAAAAAAATAAGGTGGATTCCAAAAAAGTTTGGATCGCTTTTAAAGTAATAGTAATATTTATTTACTATTATTGAATACAAAATAATTAATCTTGTTGAAGACGGTGCCAAGCCAAGTCGAAACAAAATGAAGGAGTTGTTAATGATCGGCCTCCCCTAGTAATCTTTTTCTGTAATTTTGTATGCAATTTATGCATTTTTATAAAGATTACCATTCGTACTAATAATTAAGTACTTACCACCTTATTTGTTGTATTTCATATATGTAAGTAAATTATTAGATTGTTTGGTATTGGATTTGCCCTTTTTTTCACCTTTTCAGTCCTCTAAGGATTTGTGAGGTTGGTTTCAATTTTTTTAATGCGCAGAACAATTAATCAGTGTATTGTTGCATAATCAAATACCTTTTCGACTATTCACTAAATTTATTTAATTATTTATCAATTTAATCAACACCATTATTATTAATTAATTATTAATTCATTTCTTTATCGCACACTTCGTCGCTTCTTCGCTCTTTCTCCTTCACTTTGTATCACTTGTACGTGACACAGTTTGCTGGGTTGCCTGCACGTGACACTGTATGTTGGGTTGTCTGCACGTGGCACTGTATGCTGGGTTGCCTACATGTGACAATAAAAAGACTATGTAACAAGCTTGGCCACCGAAGAGCGACTTAACTTGGTTTAATTTATTAAGAAAACACTGCTGAATCAGTTTTAATTCAATTTAAAAGGTCTGAGAATATTCTCTTCAAAATATCGCTCACATCGACTGCGAAATATCATTAAAAAAAATTAAACCAGTATGTACTCCTCGAATTGAGAGTCTTTTGTAACAAAATATAAATTTCAAAAGTAATTACAATTATAAAATATAATTAGCATTCAGAGAACATACTTTATAAATAATGTAGTTTAGGGTGCAAAAATGTAATAATTTCATTTTTTCAGGGACTAGCTTGTTACACTCCTAAATTCCTATGGGATATTTGGGAAGGTGGACTTATGAAAACCTTAGTTATGGGATTGCATATAGGCATCTGCCATGAAAAAGAAAAGAAGACGAAGAAAAAAATTTTAATCGAATATTTAATGCAGCATTTAAAGGTAATTTTTAATTTCCATTTCTATCAGTAAACCCATTTCTTTATATACACTAGTAGTGAATTGAGAACTGAACACAGGGATATTTTATTAAATGCAATCATCAAATTGCGGTATCATCATTTGAAGAATACGACCTGGTATAGGAAAATCTTGTTATAATTAATTATGTAATATACACAAATCCACTAACTACAATTTAAAGCGTTTAGGGAGTGTTATGCTTTATTTAAAAAAGATTTTAAAAGTTCGGTTAGTTTAGGACAGTTTCCAGAGAGGCAGGTAAGATTTTCAAATAAACGTGGTTGAAAAAACTTTGTAAAATCTGTAACTTTAATCCTTTTCAACACATTTTTCCACCACGGTGTCGAACATAAAATTCTTAGAATAACTGCACAAAAAGAATCGTGGATATTTCATTTGTAAATGGCAAGACATTGACCTAAGTAATGGTTGAGATTTAGTAATTACTTTAATGAATAGGTCAAAGGAACACTGGATTTGTTTGACGTAGGATACATGTAGATGGTGTTTCATTGTGTCTTAAAATGTCATTTTCACTTAACTGTTCGCGCTTGTTCAATTATGTATTTTAATGCAACGTCGACATTATTTAATTATGTTATGTCCACTAGGACAAAGGCAGACAGGAAACACTTTTATCAGGGTAATAAAGCAAAATTTCCTTACAACTTTCTTTCTTTACCAAAAACAGAAAGTATAATCCTCACNTTTCTATCAGTAAACCCATTTCTTTATATATACTAGTAGTGAATTGAGAACTGAACACAGGGATATTTTATTAAATGCAATCATCAAATTGCGGTATCATCATTTGAAGAATACGACCTGGTATAGGAAAATCTTGTTATAATTAATTATGTAATATACACAAATCCACTAACTACAATTTAAAGCGTTTAGGGAGTGTTATGCTTTATTTAAAAAAGATTTTAAAAGTTCGGTTAGTTTAGGACAGTTTCCAGAGAGGCAGGTAAGATTTTCAAATAAACGTGGTTGAAAAAACTTTGTAAAATCTGTAACTTTAATCCTTTTCAACACATTTTTCCACCACGGTGTCGAACATAAAATTCTTAGAATAACTGCACAAAAAGAATCGTGGATATTTCATTTGTAAATGGCAAGACATTGACCTAAGTAATGGTTGAGATTTAGTAATTACTTTAATGAATAGGTCAAAGGAACACTGGATTTGTTTGACGTAGGATACATGTAGATGGTGTTTCATTGTGTCTTAAAATGTCATTTTCACTTAACTGTTCGCGCTTGTTCAATTATGTATTTTAATGCAACGTCGACATTATTTAATTATGTTATGTCCACTAGGACAAAGGCAGACAGGAAACACTTTTATCAGGGTAATAAAGCAAAATTTCCTTACAACTTTCTTTCTTTACCAAAAACAGAAAGTATAATCCTCACAGAAATAGCTCTGTCTAAATCTGTTGTCTTCAACCATAGTCGTATTTGTCAAGAACTGTTAAATGTTAAAAAATATAGATACACAAAAAGTAGGGTTTCAAAATGATGGACTTTCCTATTTCCGGAGGAATTAAAACATTTTTTGTTTAAGGAATATTTCCCCAAATCTTTTTGCCTTTTCTCTTATAATAAAAAAGAAACTGCAAATACTTCTTTTTGTAAGTATATTTGTGTTTATTTGGCTAGAGTTCTGAAAACGGATACCCTCTGATTGGCTTCAAAATTTTACCACGTAGATACTCCTTTTATGGACTAGATAATGATACCTAAAAGGATTTTTGACGACTCTAACGTAAAGGGGTAACAATGCATCATTAGGGCTACAGGTTATGTATTAAGTTATACAAGTTGAATGTCTTTACACAGTAAGGTCAGTTTGGTAACGCCCGTTTGGTAATCATATAAGTACATAGTTGAATTTTTTGGGGGTGGGGAGTAACTGCTATACACCTTAACCCAACCTACCTAATGTAACAAAACACAAAATAACCTAATTCATGTTAGGTTAAGTTAGGGTTGGTGACAGTTCCGCCCTCCACCATTTTGTTAAAAAATCTGGGTAGTGCTTTTAAGAGGTATAAAAACACTATGTGATAAAAACTTGAAGGCAATAAGTAAAAGAGCTTTCTTTTCCAGCAATGTATTTTGAAGTTATCATCTTAGAGAAAAATATAATTATTTTGCCCTTTTCCATTCTAGTCGCAAAAATCCTTTTAGGTATCATCATCTAAGCAGTCCATAAAAGAGCCATTATCATAAGGTCGTCAGTCCTAAGACTGGTTAGACACGTACTCCCACTCTTTCCTATCCTGGGCTAAACTTCGCATTTCCCTAAAACTGAAACAACCCACATCCTTAACTATTTGCGAATAGTAATCTAATCTATGTCTACCTCTACTCCTCTTAACTCCTTTTCCTTCATGCCCGAGAAGGTGCCCTACCAGCTTATCTCGCCTATTTCTTATTGACTTCCATAGAGTCTTTTGTTCTCCTATCCTTTCTAATATCTCATCATTTCTAACCTTCTCTATCGACGGTATTCTCACCATGAGCCTGTAACACCACAACCTTAACAGTTCGCCAGCATAGAAGTGACTTCCGTCCTGACTTCCTAAATACCGAAAATCGGCCACTAATTTTTCGTATCCTTTCTTTATATTCGCTCTTTCCCTACTTTTTCTTCCCTTACATACCAGTATTTATGGTTTTCTTTTATCTTCATACTATAATGTTCGTGGGTTTAACAAAATTAACTTTTAAGACTGATAATAACAAAACTATTTGTTTACACTAATTATTAATGTATCACTATTCACTGCGCTATTTATTTCACTGCTATCACTGTCAATTTATTTCTCTACTCACTTCTGCAACGGTCAATTTATTTCTTCTCCCTCTCGGCGATTTTCTCTTCCTTTAAATACTCTTTTGTTTCCTTTCGGGAACTTTCTGGAAACGTCCGGAAAGTTTCTTTTTATTTAACCTGTTTAACTGTTTTCCCAGAACGCAGGTACGACACACACATTTATAAATACGTCGCACATGAAGAAAGGCGCCCGCGGCTAGTCGGCGAATCGATAAACCGCTCATACACACGTATGCCCGTTTGCTCGCTGCAATACAATACTGCTTTATCAATACCGCTTCCTTTTTATTTAAAATTATCTCTAACACCTTCTTGCTAGATGCTAATACTGCTATATCATCTGCAAATCTAAGCATACTAATCTTTTGATCGCGTCTTCAATGTGTAGATTAAAAAGTAGCTATGACAGTGTGCATCCACTGTCTGACTCCCTTCCTAATGTTTACTTCTCTACATTGCAGCTCTAGCTCTAGAACTGCCTGTTGCTCTTTATACAAACTAAGTACACTCTTCTACCTCTATAACTCATCCCTACATTTTTAAGTATATTTAACATCTTGTCCCATTTAAAATCGTCAAAATCTTTTTCTAAATCTACAAGTCTTAAAAGAGTGTTGTGGTAAAAATTTGAAACCAATCGGTAGGACCCCCTTTTCGGAACTGCAACCTTAAAAAGATTTGGAAGATTATAGTAATTGTTTAAAAAAGAATGGCTACGCTAAAACGTTTTGGAATACGACAGTAACTGTCAACATTTCTATTGACGCTAGTAAATCCGTATTGGTTTTCTCGCACAACACCCTCCAAAACCGAAGAAATATAATGTTAAAAAATAAAAATTTTGATTTCATTAATTTTTCAATTGGGTAGTCTTTCAGTTTCAGAAAGGCTTTACGAATGGTATAACACACCTTGTATAGTGTACATCGTACATATATAACAATAAGCAAAACTTTGAAATTTTTTTACCAAACTTGGCACAATTTCATGATTCAATGTCAACGGGAAGAACCTACAGGATTTGATTCCATTGCGAGTGTCAAAATGTGCGGCATAAACGGCCGTATCATTTGATTGCGTTGACTTACAAGTTTGATTATTTCACATCTCCAAGGGATTTCGGGCCTGTGTATTTGATATAAATTTCAACTTGCTAAAGAGGGTCTCGACAGACAGGCAGACGAAGTGATCCTGTAAGAGTTCCTGTTTTTTTTCTGAGGTACGGAACCCTAAAAAAAAATTAAACCTTTAAAAAATCTTTGGTTTGGCCTTACAAATAACTTATCAAAAGTTCATGAATACAAACAAATGGTCACAACAGTTAGAGGTGGTCAAAGATGACGAAAAGCAATCTTTCTGAAATAACGTTTTCTCGGTTCCACATGTCATAAACTATTGGTTCTACATAAATTTTGTATGGGATCTTTTTTATGCAGATTTATCTTACAAACAAATTTTATAATAAACAAAATTAATGTATGCAATTTACGAGATATTTCAGAAAATGTTTTTCGTCACCTGCAATTTTTGTAGCCGTCCAGTAGACTCTATGGCCTTTGATAAATTATTTGTAAGGCCAAAATGAAAAAAGTACGGCGGGAAACTCCTCTTGTAATATACGATAATGTAATATTACTAAACATACATATTTCAATTTAGAAATTATAACGAAAAATATTCTAGATAATAGTGCAATATCTTACTCAAAAACGTTTATTATACGGAACTGATAACTTGAAAATAAAATCTGTAATTTCACTTTATAATCTGCAATGCAATTTTGTTTTTATCTTACTTTACTATTAAAATAAATATAAGTACCTGTATTAAATATTTTTGTGAAAGTTCATTCACATGCAAACTAAACTTCAATGACCCTTCAAGTTCGTGATCTAAAAACGAAATGTAATTTTAATTCGCTAGTTTTTTGTCGACCTTTAGGAAATTGGTAAGTACATAATATAGAGTAACGCTTTAAAATCTGGGAAGTAATTTTAACCGACAAAGAAGGAGCAAAAAGTTAATGACCACAATATTATAATAAATCTCTTACCATCAATTTTTTACATCACACAGTAATCGATACTTCTTATAGAAAAAATAGTCGAATTAAGCTTTGTCACTCGCAAAGAAAAATATAACATAATTTTATGTATAACAATACCTCAATACATGGAGAAATGGATGATGATTTATATCAGCGTATAGGTTTGTGCCAAAAATGTTCATCATCATAAGGTCGTCAGTCCTAACACTGGTTGGACACGTACCTCCGCTCTTTCCTATCCTGGGCTAAACTTCGCATTTCCCTAAAACTAGAACAGCCCACATCCTTAACTATTTGCGAACAGTAATCTAATCTAGGTCTACCTCTACCCCTTCTAACTCCTGTTTCTGCCTCTAATATGCATTTGACTAGACCTTCGTGCCTAAGAAGGTGTCCTACCAACCTATCTCGCTTATTTTTTATTGACTTCCATAGAGTCCTCTGTTCTCCTATTCTTTCCAATACCTCTTCATTTTTAACCTTTTCTACCCACGATATCCTCATCATCCGCCTATAACACCACATTTCGAACGCTTCTAACCTTTTCTTTTCCGCCGCGCTCACTGTCCATGTTTCGCACCCGTACAATGCCGTGCTCCAAACATACACCTTTAACAACCTTTTCCGAATTCCTAAATTAACCGTTCGCTAGCATAGAAGTGACTTCTTTTTATTAAAGGCGACACGACCCTGCGCTATCCTCTGCTTTATATCCCTACTACTCCTTCCATCCTCACTTATCTGACTTCCTAGGTATCTAAAATCAGCCACTTCT